AGCCCAAAATCCTATTCTTCTAAGTATAAAGGCCCCTACATTAACACCTATAAGCCCGAAACCCCCAAACCCTTAAACCCTAAACCCTAAACCCTAAATCATAGAGTCATCAGGAGGGGGGGCAAGGGGCGTTACTGCACCGACGGGGTGTCGTGCATCATTGCGATCACCCCCTCAGAAATCGTTCAACATTCCGTGTCTACAGTTAAGGGTTGAGGGTTTAGGGCTCAATCCTTTAAGTCCCTAAACCCTAAACCCGATAGACCCTAAAACGAGCATTTAAGGGCTCCTTTAAGGAATCCTTGGGGTTTGAAGCGCTCCGTTGAGGGCTCCCTTAAGCGATCTTTTTAGGGGATCTGTAGGGTTTCCGCAAAGGGTTCCTGGAGGGGTTCTTGCAAACGGGTGTTCTAAGTGTTTAGGGGGATCCACGGTATTTCTTATTGTTGCACAAAGACACCATCATCAACACCTCCGTAGACATGATACAGCGCGTTCAGAGTAGGCCCAAAGGCACCTACATCCTCCCGGATGAAGCCTAATCCTTAACCCGATCAGCTAGACCTGAAAATAGACGAAACCCGGAATAGCTTCTGTCAAAGCCTGTAAACGAGACCTTGTATGATCAACCTCAAGCCCTCAAGAAGAGTATACTGTATTTATAATAAGGAACCCCCGAAACCCAATTTCTAAAAATATTAAGGCCCCTACATTACTTGTTAGTAGAACTTTAAACCCTAAGAGAATACACCCTGAACCCTAGATGCAGCAGGGTGTGGTCTTAAAAACGTTCCTTTGATGCAGCCCTAAACGCTAAACCCTAAAACCCTAAACCCTAAACCCCAGCCAGTGGCCAGCCAGGTGCTAAGGCGGGAGCAAAGCCCGCGGTGACCGCTCAGACTGTGGAGAAGATGTTTTGGGTTTAGGGTTTAGGTCTGGGGTTGGCCTTTGAGGGTTTATATATTGTGTTTAAGGGCTTTGCGTTTCAGGTTTGTGCTTTTTTGTGTTCATACGGTTGACGGATTGACGGTTTCAGGGTTTTGAGGTTTTCAGGGTTTGGGCTTCTGAATTTTGTTTATGCGGTTTTAGGGTTGATGGATTTCCGGCCTTCCCCAAACAGTACAGACGACGAGGTCTCGGTTCCAAGGTTGGCAGTCTCGCCGCGAGGGGCGCGGGGACAGCGGGTCCCGCTGCGACTCTGTGCGTAGTTAGTGTGCGCTTGCGGGAGCAGCTTAGCAGCTCCTGACTTTCGTTTCGCAGTATAGGAGACGCATTCCTAGAATCCACATCTACAGCACCAGATCCCCTAAACCCTAAACCCTAAACCCTAAACCCCTTCCCAAAACAGCACTAGGCCGCCATTGCCTTGAAGAGCTCGCGCTCAATTCGGCAAACCCTGGCGCCCGCGCGAGCGGCGCTGGCCCAGCCGGAGACGGTGTCGGATGCGAGCCTCTTGCTTTTCAAGCTAAGCCCTAAACCCCTAAACTTCAAAAACCCCTAAACCCTAAACCCCTGAACTTCAAAAACCCCTAAACCCTAAACCCCTAAACTTCAAAAAACCCTAAACCCTAAACCCCTTGCTTTTCCAGGGCTTATGGCCGGGCTTACTCAGCACTGCAAGCGCGTACTAGGGCTCCGGACTTTGTGTCGTTTCCTGCGAAGACTTTGAGCCCAAAGTAAAACCCTGCACCTTCATCCTGACCCTACGAAACTCTCTGAAGCTTACAACCAGTGCATAGCTTTGCGAAGCCTTAAATGGAATCCACTAGACCCCTACATTTTATCGCAGCCCTTCTAGTAGCCCAATATGGCTGGCCTTATCTTGCACAACTGTACAAGGTGGTTCTGTGCCTCATCGTGGCTAGCGGCGTCGCCAAGCGAAGTGCCGAAAGGGAGGCGGCGGTCTGGGCTCGGGGGCTGATTTGACCCTGCTGTGAAAGAGACTTAGAAGCATTGCAGCCCCGTAGCCGCCGTAGCTGTGAAGAGCTCCAGCAGCTTGTCATTTTCATTCACAGCACGACCATATGACGCTGCAGTCCTACCGCGCGGCAACATGGCTTCGTGCGAAAGGAGTAGGGTCCAAACAGTTCGCTCAAGTTCATGTCTCTCCACCACAAGCAAAAACGCTCTGCCCTTGCGCGTAGCAAGAACTCAACGATGGCAAAGGCTTGCGCAGACCAGCGTGAGCGCTGTGCCGTCCGTGGCCCTGGTTTCTGCGACGAGGCGCCGTCTCGGCACGACCTCTTAACCACGACGGGATACATCCGTTCTGACTTATGCCGCACAAAAACGCAGCTCACGAGCAGGACTCTTGCGGTGTTGGCTGGCTTCGGTCCTCAGCTTTGCGAGACCTGGCAGGTGTCGGAACGGGAAGCTTGCTAGCCCAAAGCATCCGAATGACTTGTGCAGGTTGCTAGAGAGTGTGGTTGCACTGTTAGCGTCTGTTAGCTACACACCTTTGCTGCCCAGCTTGAGTTGCCAACTTGATGCAGATCTGTTTCGTTATTGAATGCTTGTCGCTTCACATCTAAGTTCAGGCTCGGGCTACATCTGTGCGCAGCAAGATGCCTGAGCCACGACATCGGATGAAAACGCCGCATCGGATTTGCTGCGCTCGTCAGTAGCTTCAAGATGTGGCACGATGGGGGCCTTTTATTGAGTTGTGAAAGGCTTCTGAAATAGACGTGGCAGACATGGCAGTGTAGATCCTAGAAATTACGCCACAACCGCCACCTGCAACCACTACAGCCACAACCACAACCTCATCAACGACACCGCCACCATCGGCTTCCCCGCCGCCACCACACAACCACCGCCAGCACGCCCAGCACAACAGCAACAGCAGCAACAACAGTCAGTTCCTATGCCGCACGCCACGTCTGTTCCGTCTACTATGGTTTACGTCACCAGGTCTGTTGTCATGAGACGGCCGAGGTTCCAGCTTGAAAATAACGGCACTGCGACCTTTTTCGACTGTGCAGGCGTTTTCATACCATAGACCCTTCCGAACCCTTAAACCCCTCGTGATTTTGGTACTGGAGCAGTCTCGCAGTCGACGGATCAGTTTTCAGGGCTGGCGGTTCGGGCTTCTGGTCAGGATTTTATTTGAGGTGCGTGCAACGGTTGACGTGGCTATGCATGTCGGCATCCTCGAAAGACCTGGACGTTCATTACTTAAAGCTGTGTCGTTGCGCTGCTTTTCATGCCCGAGCTGACATGGAGAGCGGGCCCGGTTCTAGCTGTCAAAGCCCGGCCCCGATACCAAAGCCATGGTATGCTGCGTGCAGTAGGCCGCTTCAATGAAGTGTGATGCACAATAAACCTGAGAACAACCCTTAACCCCGGACCCTAAGAACCAGAACCCTAACACGGCCCGAATCCCCAAAACCCTAAACCCAACCCTGAAAAGCAACACCTGTTTGCATTAACCCTCAACATCTTTTTCAACCCTAGGGTTAAGGGTTTAGGGTCCTGACCCGTGACAGCTTTGGGTCCTAGCGATGAGAACCGGCGCTTTACTTGCCCATGTGGGGCTTCTTGAAAGAACATAAGGGTACCTTATGTATCCAGAGGTCGTCAAAAATAGCTTATCGGTGTAGGGTCTATATCAGGGTCCCTTCTCATGTTTTGCCGATGCTGTTGGCCTCTCTGCTTGTTGCCGACCGCGCTGGCTCTGGTGCCTCAAGTGCAGCTGCTCGGTCAAAGAGAAACAGCACGTGAACATAGGGATCACACGACTAAGGGGTTTCCGGAATGACAAGGGAGGATCCTGATGCGGGCCCGTAGTGGCATCACGCACCGACGAGCATGCCTTTGAGTTAGGGCTCTGTCGAAGCGATGATATGAGCCTTAAATCCAAACCTCAAGCCTTCAAGCCTCAACCATTTTATCCTGAAGAGAGCCTGTTAAGCCCAGCGCCTTGCATCCCAATCGCTAAACCCTCTAAGCCCTCCAAGCCGTAAGTTGATGTTGACTTGAGTGTTTAGGAAATTTGTATCGTTTTCTTAAAGGGTTTTGTCATTGTTGTTTTGTTCCTTTTGGATTCTCGTGCGTTCTTCGAGACTCAGGGGACCCTGTAAGCAAGTTCTGAGTTGGGCTGCGATTAGGATAACCTCGACTGTAGGATGCGTGCAGCCCACATATGTCCAACTGTCAAGGCCCCATGATGGTCTTAGTTGAAGGGACCATCGTAGGGATATTTGGCAGCTCTCCAAAAAGCGTGGTACCACGATGTGCGGCCGAGATGCGTGCGGCAGGCTAGCCCGAAGGTTCTGCGGCTCCCGGTGTGCTACGGTGCAAGTTTGGGATTAAAGTCCCGGTGTTTCCACTGCCCGGCTGTGGCCACGTCCGCCGGAGATACGCGGTTCCTGTTTCTTCAATATGCTGGCTTCATTTTTGCCTTCGAAGCGTCCTGGCAGGGCCACGCTATTCGGTCTCTCAGCTCAGTCCGTATGGTGGTCTTCATTCTACCAGGCAAGTCGGGGAACGATTTTCGGGATGGTGCCTTCAAAACGCTGGGAATGCTTCAGGTTTAAAGTCTGCAAAGGGACCTGTCTGCGTGCTCGATCCAACGTCCTGGTGGTGGTCGTGGTGCTCATGGTGTGCGGTCGTGGTCGTCATGCTGGTCGTGGTCGTTGGTCGTTGGTGTTCAGTCCAGTCATAAAGAGCCCTCGTGAAGTGAAGTTCCACAACAAGAAACCATCTCAGGTTCGTCCTGCCGAGTCTCGACGCGTACGAAGGCAGCGACTTTGAGTGCGGAGCCAGGCGTTGCAACTTGGACCTAGAAGTTCAAGGTTTTGGGGGGTGTAGTGCTTTAGGGTTTGCGGTTTTGTGGTTTTGCGGTTTCCGACGTAGTGTTGTGTGTATACAGTCGCTTCAACAATGACTCCGCGACAACGGCGAACAGATGTCTGATCCGTCATCTACAGAGATGCCTTTTTTCGTGGCAGGAGTAGCATCGCTTGCGAGTTTCGAGGACGACATGTCGAGACCTCCGGGCTTCATACCGGATTGAGGTGTCGGTTTTGGGCGTAGACCCTCATACAAACCCATATAGAGACCCGGAACTTGAGAGTTAACCAGGTGGCTCTTCGGTTTCTCTGGCTCAGCGCTGTCGGCTGTCAGAGCTTGACCGAGCCTGTAGCAAAAGCACTGTCGCTCGCTTGCGGTCGTCACCGTCGCCGTCGCCGGGGTCGCCGGGGTCGCCGTCATCGTCGTAAGTACCCTAAACCCTAAACCCTAAACTTTTGGCCCTAAACCCTAAACCCTAAACCTAAACCCTAAACCCTGGTGTAGAGTCAGGGCCCTTGAGGGTCTAGGGATGTCTAGGGTTTTGTGGTTTCAGGGTTTAGGGTTTGCATGGGGGCTTTCTGGCTTTTTTGTCAGAGCAGCCTAGCAGAGGCAACCTCTTCTCCCTTGGCATCATTCGCTTCCCAACGGACGCAGCTTGGCTACTTTAGGGTGTGGAGTTTGTGGTTTTTGGGGTCTTGGGGTTCAGCTGAATGATGGGACGAAGGGTGCACGTGCTTACTGTTCACGGAAGAGTGGGGAACCAAGGAGCTTTTCGTCGCGAATGTGCAAATCCTGGAAGACAGCAATGCCACTCGAGGCCGAAGTATTGTGCAACCTACCTGTTTCGGTCGAACACCCGACCTGGCGAATCCCCAAACCTCCAGAATCTAACAGAAGCGGTTTCTTTGGGCTTTGAGAGATGGGCCTGGAGGGCACCTTACATCTCTAGGGTCTGGGTTTAGGAGTTTAGGGTTGAGCATCTCGGGGTGTTGTTCTGGGAGTTTGCTGCTGACCCCTAAATCCTCGAACCGAAACCCTAAAACCCCAAACCGTAAACCCTAAACCCTAAAACCCCAAACCCTAAACCCCAAACCCTAAATCCTCAGCAGCTTCTGCTTTGAGCTGCGTTGCCCCAGCCGCCCAAGGCCCAGCCCTAGCTCAAAACTCCGGACCCAGGCCCCCGGACAATTTCGATAAATCCTAAGGGTTTAGGGTTTAGGCTTTAGGGTAGAGGGTTTTGGTCCCTAAACCCTGAACCCGAAACCCGCAACCCGAAACCCCAACAATGAACCCGAGAGGCGTCGATTTCGAGTTCTACCCGGATGCGGCTGCCTGTCGGAAGGATGAGGGCTTCATTTGGTTTGTTTAGGAGCTGGGTTTGGGTCGGATGTAGGTTGGAGGCTCTGCAGCTCTCTCCAGTAGTCAGCTTGAGCCCATTTATGGCACCGACTGACCAGTCCGCCCGGGATCCTTCAAGTCCTTCAAGTATAACCCTGAACAGGAAACTTTTTCCATAAGTACCCGCCTTATTCCCGTGATCCTTCGGGTAAAATCCTACATCCTACCAAGACCCCCCCCACCTGGATTGTGGCACCTCATCCTGGAACACCTGCTGTATGGGTAGGAGTTAGGATCCCAGAATACAAAACTAAAGGTAACCGACGAAGCCTAAACCCAAACCCCAATCCCTGAACCCTAAACCCCTGAGCCGTAATATCCAAGCCCTAAACCCCACTTTCTAAACCTGAACCCCAACCTCTCAACCCCAAACCCTATCCTTTCACTCCAAACGAGACCCGCAGGTTTCGCCGACCGTAAATCCCCAAATCCTTAACCCCAAATCAAGTCTTTGCAGAGAAGACCCTTTGTAAAATCGGCAAGCCCCATGCAGTCCTACAGAGCCATACAGAATCCTGTCATGAACAGTCCTGGTCAATCCAAAACCTTAAAGCCTAAACCCGAAACCCTAAATCCCAAACCTTAAGCCCTAAACCTTAAATCCCAAACTTTAAACCCCAAACCCCAAACCCTAAACCCTAAACCCTAAACCCCTTAACCCTAAACGTCTGAACCCCGAAAGGCTCACAGATTCTCGTCACTCCGAGGTGACGTGGCAGTCCGGAGACGTCAACTCGCAGGCTCAAGGGGTTCCAAAAAGGGGTTCTTTACCGGGGTTCCTTTAAGAGGGTGCCGTAAGGGTTATTATAGACTGCAGGATTTCGAGGCTAGGGCTTAATGAGGTTTTTGTTCTGCTGCTTTTGTATTAGGAAGCTTTAGAGGCTAGTACGGCCAATTAACTAGTACTTCGAGCGCTTCGGGCTCTTCGGCCGAAGGACTTTGAGAGTGTCGGGTTAAGGCATCTTAGTAGGGCTTTCCTATCCAGTGTAGGGGCTTAGAGTGTAGGACTGTGACTGTAAGCCAGCGTTCCCTGGATTTGTGCTGCATCAGAAGTGCTTATGGGCATCGGCAACAGTTTACAGTTTAGCGTTTAGGATGTGAGGTGTTCTCTCGGGTTCCCAATTTCCCATTTCGACACGGGGTGGGGCTTGGTCCTGGAACCTGGAAGTCAGGAGACCCAGAACCCGAGCGTCACCTAAACCCCAAATGGGCAGTTCTCTAAGTTAGAGTCGGCACCCTCATAACAAGGACCCTGCAAACGGACCCTATGTTGGAGAACTTCTCGAATTAGGTCCTGCCCGATTGACTGCAGGCTATCCTACTCTTCATCTTCGACGATGACTTGGCGGAAAAGATGAAGGCCAGTTGACCGGGCTTCAAGCTTCAATGCCATAGTTTTCCTCCTGGCTTGGGCCTTCACATGTAGATGGACACGTATATGTATATGTATATGTATATGTATATGTATACGTATATGTATATGCATCTGTATATGTACAT